TAAAAGTGTCAAAGGGTTGTATGAGAAATTGCCTGAATGATTTGAATGAAAGTACGTCGCCGGATACTGAAGATGTCCGGTCGGAAGTGTATTAGGAAAATCGGTATTGTGCGATGGTTGGACAAATGGGAAGCCACAGCAGAGTCGGAGAATTAAAGAATTTTATGAAGGTGAGTGTTTTTATTTCATTTTGTTACTTGATAAATTTTTTACATTTCTATATAGCACAATATTTAATAAATTACATTTGCTATATCTATGATTTTGTATTTTAACACTTTTTCTTTTTTTTATAGTAGAGGTAGGTGTAAATAAAATATTTAGAAATAGATTCTACACTCTACTTAAATATTTCATTAGAAAGATCATTTTATACATTTTTTGTATTGCGAAATCTGATATGCCACACCAATCTTTTAGAAAATTTTGTTATCTTTCTTGGACCATATTTCAAAATTACATAGAGGTATACAGTGTGTTGAATGAATAAAAACAAAATGTTTTACTTAAAGGACATTATATTTATAAAATAAAAATTAATTATTTACCACAAAAAAGTCCTTGATAAATAAACCTGAATGTTTATTTTCTAAGAGCGTTGTTTGTTGTCTAAAAGCATGTACAAGTTTTGTACCTATACATATCAGTAGGAGGTACACTAATTATAATTATTTTAAACAAAGTGCAAAATGGACCTAAAAAAATTCTACCACAACCAAAAACTGTTAATTTTATGAAAAAATTATAAAGGGTTTTAGTATATTTGACCGACAACGCTCTTGCCTCAGAGAGCTCACGTTAATTGATGAATTTTGATATAGTAACATGGATCCTTATAGGGCTTAGTTACAGAGATAAGGTTAGTGACAATTCTCCCCCCTATTGTTTGCGCCAGTGGAACAAATTTTTTTTTTATTAAATTGTTAATAGTTCATGTATTTGGCAAAATTTATGTACATCAAATTTGAAAAAATCTTTTTGTTTCAGGGCAAATTTTGAATTTTGATTTAAAACTTTCAATATTCTATATCTCATTAACTAAACTCTTTAAGGGTTCATTTTCCTATATCAAAATTCAACAATTAACGATAACTTTCTGTGGTAGAGCGATGTCGATCGAATATATTAACCCTGTATACGAAAAATAATGAAAAATGAATGATTTTAAAGAAAAGACAATTTACATTTTTTTGTCACCATTTTAATAAGTACAAAACTGCGCAACTTTTGTTTAATTTAACCAACTTTCTATCTGTTATCGTTTAAGAATTAGCAATACTGTCCTGTCCCTATGGAATAGTAGAGACTCTATACCTACCGACATATTTTTGGTAGGTTTTACTTTTATTTTTATATATCTAGGGACAAAATGACAAACAACTAGGAATTACTTCTCGAATAGAGTATCGACACTCGACAGTTTGTTTCTGCAGTTTTATAAATTATGTACCCCACATTATTTCAAGCGCCTTTTTAGATGCTTTAGCCGGGCCTCCAATGGCGCGCGGTTCATGGTGCCATCGCACCATACTCGCACCATTGTAGTTACGCCACTGCCCGGACGTAAAAGAGAAAACAAGTGAAACTAATTTTATTTTCCTGAATTTATTTTTTATAAATTAGGAACTAGTATACAACATATTTTTTTTAGTAATTAACAAATCAGTACTATAACAAATAAAACTTGAGATTCAAAATTTGGAAACTGAGAATAGTAAAAGATCTTAAATTTACTAAAACTTTAGCTACTCTTTATTAGTTATTATTACTAAGTATAAATTGAAGAATACTGAATTACAGTGATCCCGCACAGAGTTGAGATAAGATTTTTTAAGTTGTTTTTATTTATTTTATAGTAAAAATTTAATTCAATAAAACAAAATTTAATTTTAAACATGTGTTTTAGATTTTAAACTGTAAAAAGGAAAAATTCATAATTTTCACATTTTTTTGGATTAATTTATGTATAAAATATTATTATAGACAGATTGAAATCTTCCAATGATAGTCCATATTGCTGCAAAAAATACTTTAAAGAATGATTCGCAAAAAGTTTCTATAGTATGCCAAGACGGGCATGTCTGTGATAACTACGCAAACTCAGTGCCGCAGTGTATAATAAGAGGCCATGCGAGAGGTCGCAGGCTGTGTCGCAGGTTCAAATTTTACACCAAACTTTACGTGGTATTAATAAACCGGTAACACACCTTCCTTCGGAGGGCAAGTAAAGGCGCCGTTACTCTCGTTGGGCCATGTAGAAATATTAAAAGGACCAAAAGAGGTTAACGGCTATGTGCACGCAGCTTAGATTAGCAAAGAAAACTTGTTTTCCATGCATTTTGCATCAAATACAACCCAAATAACACACAAAGTTATAAAATGTTGGTTATAATTAATTAAAACGTTACAAAACACACGTAAACGACACTTTAAATAACTTAAATTTTTATAACTGTTATACAACTTCTTAATAGTGTAGAAAAGTTTAACTTTCTTCTAAGCTTTTAACTTCAAGTTTATTTATTTTTATTTCTATTCTGTTTTATGTAGATGAAATATATTATAAAATATTTATATAACATAGTCCATATAAAATTGTAAAGGTTCATTAATATTTTATTTTATGGGCTTTATAATAACATCTACAAGAAGCAAAAAGACTTTTTTTGATATAACAGGAATGTCACATCTGGTTTGTTAAAAAACCATTTTTGGGAACTTCCAGTAACGTTGAATAACGTAACAAGGTAGCGCTATACTATCACCGCAACGTCTACATTGTTTCATCACAAAAGTAAACGTCTCTACTCTGGGCTTAGATGAAAACAAGAGTAAACATGAGAGTTACAATGTAACAATGTGATGTAGAGTTCTTAGTAATTTAACGTTTTATGCATACATAAAATTGTAAATAAATTAGTGACAATAATTATATTCACAATTAAAATTAAACAACTACCAAAAGATGCAAGAACCTTATTGCATACTCCCAGAAAAATTAACATAGTTTTTATTGGACCAGAACCCAATGGTATATTATTTAAAAACTCTTTGAAAACCATGTTTTGCAAACAATAAGTACTTTTCATTTGATCATTTCTTTATTAATCCTTGCAAATCAATATTCGAAATGATTAAGCGATTGCAAATTTTAATAATACTGTTAATAAGCAGTAACAGTAAACACATCACATTTACATAACCTATAAAAATGTTTTTATTTTTTGACAGTTACAACTCAGTGGTAAACGAGTTTTGATATAACTTATATAATACACATAGAATTAGGTTATAACGTAGTGGAATAAATAATATAATACATGCAAATTAAATTTACATAATTAAGCTATAATAACCATATGTTGTGCACACAAAATCAACGAAAGTATAAGTTATAATAAGTTAAATAGTATTAACGTGGTGTTTATATGTATTAATTACAACTTTTTGGTCATAAGAAGATTCAGCCATTTTATTCGGTAAAAAGGAACACAAACTTTCCGCCATGTTGGTAAAAAATAAACAAAAAATGAAATTTGGATCTCATTCTGTATTATAATTGCATTATGTAGACAAAATAAGGTTACATTATGTTTTTATTTAAAATAACAATTATTTTGAAATAAGTTTATTTTTTTTCGTAATTTTTAAAATAAATTTTAAAACCATTATTTTAAGAAAATGATAAGGCGCACTAATTTTTACAAACTACAAGTATTACAAATTAAAAATTTAAAAAAACCGACTTCAAAAACGTGCAGATGCCATCACCACATCTTAACCTAATTTATATGGGACCACCCCTGAGGTACCCCCTTACTAACAAAAAAAGAATCGTATAAATCGGACAAGGTGGTAAAGCATTATCGCTAAACATACATAAAAAATGAAGAGTTTGAGGATTTTCTCATGGATTCAATTATTAGATTTTGACCAAATTTATATGGGACCACCCCTAAAGTAGCCCCTTTCTAACAAAAAAAGAATTATTGAAATCGGACACCGTGTTAAAAAATTATCGCAGAACATACATAAAAAATGAAGAGTTTGAGGATTTTCTCATGGACCCAATTATTAGATTTTGACTAAATTTATATGGGACACCACTCCTGAAATACCCCCTTTCTAACAAAAAAAGAATCATTGAAATCGGACACCGTGTTAAAGAATAATCGCTGAACATACATAAAAAAAAAAAATATCGCGACGAATTGATAACCTCCTCCTTTTTTGAAGTCGGTTAAAAATTAAATGTTACTTCATAAAAATTTTTTCGTCACAAAATTTAGGTATATTACACCTTTTACAACTTTTTATACAAAATGTTAGTTTAACATTAAGATTAACCTAGTTGCCATTAGTGAGATATTTATGATGTAATGTCATTTTGTAAGAAGTAATTCTAAAATGTTTATACCTATTAGTCTTCTTTAGATATATAAATAATAATCTTGGTATAGATTAAACCAAATTATATCATATAACAACTCTTAACAACAACGTTTTTATATTTATTTGTAAATACCTAGTAACATTATCTTATTATAAAGTTATAAGTTAGTTATAAGTAAAGTTATACTGTAAAACTATAGATACTATTAGGTTGTATATATCCACCAATCATATATATTAACGGTATATAGTGTATTAGAATATGAATGTTATTGAGTTTTTAGAAAAGTTGTTGCAACGTCGGTATAACCCTTATATAACTTTTTGTATTACTTGGGAAATTTTCTTTGCTGATGTAGAAATATTTTTACACACCAAAAAGAGGTACAACTCGTTATACATGGCTTTACTGTAAAGGGAAAATATATATTTTCACTTTTTTAATATTCTGATGACGAAGTTATTGAAGATTTTTCTGATTGACACCGTTGTCATTTTGGGTTTTTATAAATTTAAATAAACAGATCAAAATAATTATATTAATAAAATATTCAGGGTTATATATTAATTTTTCTAGTAGAATAGAGAGAACTTCTTCATAAAAATATTCATACTTTAGGATAAACGAAATTTAAGTTAGGTTTTACAGTCGATCCATTATGTGGTATTTTCTTCATATATTCAATATAGTCCGTTGGCAAACCGGATTCTACGGCTCCTTCAATCATCGTATTCAAATATGCCGGTGTAGGTTTTCGTTGGTCAGGTAAATTTTGCAAATTAACTTCTAGTACCTCTCCTACTTGACGGTAACATCTCGCTTGTATCGTTTTTCCATCAGGCATTTGCACGTCTACTGTTATGGGATAATATATGTTGGCTTGGACACCTTCTTGTCTGAAAGTCAAAAATTTAATTTTTTTAACGGATTTTCATTCGGCGAGTTAAAATTATATAGTTTTACAAAAAAATTAATCTTGGAGAAAACAGAAAAAGACTTTTCAGTACTTATGCACTTTTAAAAAATATAACTACACAAGATGGAAATATTGAGATGCTGGTTTATTTGTCTTTACCCATTCTCCTATGCCAGGGGTCGGCAAACTGCGTCTCGCGAGCTGCATGCGGCTCTTATTTAGAACCTTAAGTGTGGCTCTTCCCCAAACTACAACGTGCGGGCTCGCACATACAGTACCATTCATCGTGATAGCTGCTTTTCTTATTTCTATTTTTTCATACTTAGTTGGTGTTTGCATCTTTATCTTTATGCGAGTACTCTAAAGCGACTTTTATTAAAAACACACTTCCAGAAAGATAAAATATTAACGTGTATCGTACAATATGTTGCTCCTGAGCACGTATCCCCGTAGGAAAGACTAGAATTGTAGTAAAAGCCTGCACCCCTGCACTGGCATTTTAAGGGACCATATTATTTTTCCTTTTTCATTTATGGTAAACTTAATGGTCAAAAATATTAAGATTTAATTTAAAATCAAGTTATTATTTTTCACTTGCACATATTTCCTAATTTTAGAATCGGAGAATTATGTAAATTTTGCATTTAAATTAATTAGAAAGAACAATACCCCACAATAGTTCATGCATTACTATCGGAACTTTCCATAAGCTCGCACGCTGGCAGGTCATATAAAAGGTGGTAGTCATCGTTGTACACAAAATATAGAGATGGATGATCTCTCACACTGCCTATAGCTTATGGCTCGTATAATTTTTTTCTAATCTGTATAAAGAGGATAAACGATAAGAGAGAGAGACGAAACAAGTTTACAAGGCGAGTGTGGATGAGAGAGTAAGAAAAGGTCGACTTCAGCAAACGTTTACTTCTATCAGATTGCGGACGTTTTTAGCAAAGGCCAGCTTAGCAGAACTCTAATTAAGTCAACAACAATGTACACCTATATACTTTGAGTTTAGAAAATTTGGCTATCAATAGAAATTTGGATCTGTTGACTAATGAGTTTGCCGAACCACTGTCCTATGCAATTGATCACCCTGTGTGAACATTTGTTCGCTCGATCATATTTTCCTTAACATAAATAATTTAATGGTCAGGTACAACAGTCACTAAATATATATTTGTAAAAAAACTAGACTAAATATGTCTCCGTAATAAATTTTTATATTTAAAACTACATACTTTTCTATAGATTTTGCAGTACCTAAATAACGTATGGAATAAAATTCTACAACATATAAGAAAAGTTTTTGAGTAATTCTTAAGAAATAAAGCAAAACTACTATTTTGTTAGTCTAACCTTGTAGGTTTTAAATATTTCCCTTGACAAAATAACGTTATATTTAAAACTAAAAGTAATTAAACTTTTCACTAAAAAGTAATATTTCAGATTCGAAATTCAAACATTTTTGACACTCCATCACATAATAAAAAAAATAAAAAAGTTCTGTCCTTTTTACATTTGCGAAGACTGTCCTGATATCTAATCGATTTTCTTCTTCAAAGTAGTTAAGTTGTTCAACCGTTGTCTCTATAAAGGTATCTCACATCTTGCTCATACATACAAATTTGAAAAGCAGCAGAACAAAAATTCAACTAACCAGGTATAACTAGGTCTTTTCCTTTGCATCGAAAGTGTAGCACTGAGCTACACCACTTCTGAAAATATCGTTCCATTTATACAAAATGTATGGATAGAACGATATTTTCAGAAGCGGCATAACTTAGTGCTACACTTTCGATGCAAAGGAAAAGACCTACTAAGTCCGTGTAAAGAAAACTTTTCATATCCTGAACACGTCAAGTGTCAACTAAAATTTCTACTTTTAAAGATCAAACGTGCCGGCTCAGAGTGCCCGTAGTGATTAGGTTCTTTCGTTCATCCCACTGGTGTAGGAATGAACTACACCAACGTACACATACCTTTCTGTGGCCCGGTGTAAAATCCACTACGGCTTTCTGTCGGCGATGTGGAATAAGGAGGAAGTAAACTGGGTAAATAAAGGTAGTGTAACTGGTGTAATTGACACTGGTGGACACTGCACCAACATCGAACGAAAGAACGTATAGATAGCTATACTGGGGTTCAACCTTTATCTTCGTGCGATATGGTCATCATATCTACTCTTGTTGCACAAATAACTATTTATTCACTTACTTATCTAACTCGGGTATATTTTCAGTTGGAATTTCCCATAGTGCTCCCCATACGTGACTCCCTTCTTTTGGTACAACGGTAGCTGCAAATCCTTGCCATACTTTCGAATATGACACAAAATCCAATTGATAATCCTAAAAAGTTTGAATATAAGAATTTTTAAGTAAGTACCTACTCATAAAGTATAAACATGAACAATATTTGTAGGACACAAACAATATATCATGAGATATTTACAAAGTTTAGTTAAATACAAAGATATCGGATATGATGTCTATGGTTAAATCATATTTTTAACATTTAAATTTCTAAGTGAAGAAAAATTCAAGATATTTATGTATTCCAATAAATGGTAGTTTAACTAGTTTACCTTGCTAACTTCTATTTAAACCAAATTTTTGTAATAATAGTACATATTATATACAACAATTTGTTTATTACCTGTAGTTTTCCAATTCCAGCTCTAACGGCAGTAGGATTCATCACATGCATCCTGCTTGTCAACAGATTACTACCAAAAGCAAAATACATTGTTTTAGCACTCATGTTTCGAGAAATTTCGGAGCTTGTAGAAACATCCGATGCTACGCAGGCATTCACAGCGAATGTAAAAACCAGACACTTCAACACGTTATTTCCGATTTGTGACGGCATAAAATCTTGATAAGACCGTTTAATTAAGTACCTGATTTAATAATAAAAAAAAACAAGTTATATAGAGTGTGTTCAAGATAAGAACTTAAACAAAATGTTAATTATAGTAAAATATGTGCCAAAACAAAGGCTATTAATATACGCCAAGTGGTATACAGATTCGGAAATTGAAACGCGGACCATATAAACCAAATCTATTCGGGACGAGCCTAAGTGGGAGTGAGATAAAAGTCGTCCGTGCGCTGCGTAGCAGTCTTTGTCTGTTTTACGCGTGATCCTATTATACCTTGTCCAATTTATTGTAAAATAGAGGGTTCGCGTTGGAATTTCCGTATCTGTGTATGTCGAAGTGATTGTCATGGAGACGGAACCATTTGTTTATTCGAATGAGACATTAAAAAATTGCCAGTGTTGCCAAACAGTTTCGAACGGAGGTATTATCAATCAATAAGGATTTACGAGTCAATGATTTATTCTAATACAAAATAAACTGGTCGTATAGTTACCATGACACGAGCCTTGACAAAGTGAATCAAGCAAGGATATTTATTTTCATCTCTGGTATCTACGAAATAGAAGTTACCTCGGCTAACGTCTCTAAAGATTAGTTTTAGTCAGACGTCTACCCAAAGAATGTTTTCGTTTGCTTGGCCGCGCGACCTGACCGCTAGTGTGTATAGAATTAATAAATGCAAAATAACAGTGGGGGTGGTTTGGTTGGCTCAGTGGTTAGAGTCATGACTTTGAGATCGGAAGGTCTCAGGATCGAATCCCACCGGTGTCAGGGATTTTTATTTAATTAAAAAAAATAAATATTAATTCTAATGCATAGGTAGAATTCCCCACTCGACCATTCACTGTTGGGTTCTAATTAACAGTGCTGTTCCTAAAGTGGCGCTGAGAAACAGTAACAAAGCCTACACAGAACACAAGGCTAATGGCCGTAGTAGTCGACGCCAATGACACCAAATAAAAAAAAAAAAAAAAAAAAAAGTGGTGGAAATAATGTACTTCAATGAAGAACCAATAACAATAAACGTAGAACATAAATAATTGGAATGGTACGGAGACACAAGAATGGAAAGTGTTAAATTACCGAAATGAATAATATTGAATGAGACCATGGATCAAGGAATATATGGGTAATGAGAATATATAGGATAAGAGCAGAGAGAAAAAAACTACATAATGTAAACTACATGATGTAAAGGCAAAGACCTAGCAAGAACTGCGAAAAATGGATAAAAGATTTAATATAAACGATTAGATACTAAAAAATCAGAAGAATATTTATTAGAGCTCTAAAATAATGTAACATTTTTTTCTATATGGCCAGCGCTAAACTTCATACCGCGGGAAAGGAGTAAACAAAGTACAGGGTTGGCTTGGACATGGCCCCCTTCTTAAGAAAAAATTTCTCCTGGAATTAAAACTGAATGGTTGAATCTGCAACTGGATCCTCTTTTACAATTTTCAGTTGCATGGAAATAACAATGGACGGTTTTTATTGAAACCTGAACCCTGGGCGAATGGCTGCAGACCAGTATTTGGACCTCGGAATCTTAGAAAATTACTTCCAGCATGTTTCTAATGATCCTCCAATTTAGCTGGTTGCTCTCTATTCTTGGCATGGCCAGTTTCTGTACATTGGACGTGTTCCCTCAGACTAAGTAATGCTTCCCGTACATCATGATAAGTGGATCGATCTCGGAAGGTGTTCTTCGTAATCAAATAAAAAAGATAACGCGATCCATCTTGAAGTTTCAATGCTTTTCTAGGGGCTGGTAATTGATCTTAAAGTTCTGGCGATCGATCAAACTTCTTCCGAAACGCAGATGCCAGACCTCGAGCGTCGTTGATGTTGGTGGGAGTGCTATGAACTAGCGAGTAGACTTTAGTAACCGTAAACAGATCTTGTTGTTGCTCGGTTGTAACACCATATCTTGCTTTTTGGGTACCTCCATATACACCTATAAATTCTTCAAAGACAAGATCAGGTGATTCTCGGAGCTGGTTTACTTCTTCTTCCTCGTCATGGTTATCCTCAAATGAAGCCAGCCAGTTTAGGTTTACCGTTCGGGATCTTACTTTTACGGTAAATGACATTGATTTTTTCTTAATGAGGTACGGACCTTTCCACGACCTTTGAAGCTTCGGAGAATAACCCATTTGTCTTCTTGGGTTATGGAGCCAAACTTTGTCGTCTCTCTTGAAACATTCTTCTGTGGCTTGGGTATCGTATCGCTTCTTCATTCTGTTGCTGGCGATTTGAAGATGCAAGCGAACTAATTCATGCATGTCGTCCATTTTTCTCGGACATAACAAAGATGTCTCGGTTCGAATCCTAACGGCGACAGGCTTTTTCAAATTTACAAGTATGTGTTTTCATCTCTGGGGTTCGGGGATGGTCTTAATAATTCGTAGGGGAATTTTGAGATTTTAAGAATTTTCAAATTACTCTTCAGCTTTAAAAGAAATGCCTTATGTGTTTCGTATCTAGTAAACCATGGAGCGGAGATTTCTTATGTGAAAATTGAATGTTAGTGTTCTTATGTGAAAACTGAATGTCAGTGATGTCGGTTTGAAACCAAAACTATAACCAAAATGTTTATTTATTTATTCTTCCAGGAGTTAATGTTAGGATGGTGATGGATATTTATGGAATTAAAAAAAAAATACAATAACTAACCACTGAAAGTATCTACCCATTACGAGAAAAAGACACAAATGTTTTAAAAATATTCTCCCTTTAGTTATATTTGGCAAACTTATTATATTGGTTGTGAATATTAGTAAAGGGCGTTCCACAAAAAAATTATAAAGTAGGCCATGACCGACGCAAAGACGGATATACGAGTCATGTCCATGATAACTACATACGGCTCTGAATTAAATACAGAATAATATTGACATACAAAATGCTTGCAATATCTTATATTAATAAAAATCGCGTTTAAACTAGAGTGGATACATAAGTTGGAAAGGCCTTCCGCAGTTCTCCCACTTCATACACAAGATTTGACAGTTTCGCTGCGAAACTTTGGAGTAGAAAATTATTTTATAGATGATGATAATAACAATTTTGCGTAAATAGTTTAATAAATTGTGAATAGCTGAAATTTTTGTAAAATTATGATACGTTCGGCCGATTCCGCTGGTAATAATTTAACGGATATTATTTTTATTCTAAAATACGGCACTGTCGAATAAACATTACCGCGAAATTCTCGAAGTCGTCCGACGGGATTTGACGTTTACCACTTCTCTACCTACCAAACGACGTTCCAACTTCTACCCCTGCTTCCGAATTTCGTTGAAAAAAGGAAAATATCTGGTAACCTAGCCAGAATCCCTGCACCGATAGTAGCAAAACAGTACAACAGAAAATGCTTGCAAAGGAATTTTTTTATTGTCTGGAAGCATTGTCAGCAAAAAAAGACATTCATCGATAAGCAACTTAATTTTGAATTTCAAAGGCACTTGGCCCGCCCGTCCCATCACCGGAACATATGGTACATGTCATGTTAACCGCCTCGCCTATACCCAACCACAAATAGCCAACAAAAAAAGGGACATGCCACGTTTTGTAGTCAATCCGAGAGAATATTAAATCAAGGGACAGAAACTTTGTGTCATTTTGAAACTGAAATTAAAAACGTCAACAAAATTAAGACAAGGTAACTAGAATAAACATACTATAACCAAAAATCCTAACTTAAAAAAAATGATATTAACTTGAAATTTTTAACAAAAATCAAGCTCTATAAGAGGAAGAAGACCTTTGCACTGAACTAACTACACATTACGAGAAGCGCAAATATTCGCCTTCTGGGTACATCTGACAATTTTTTAATAATATGTAGGTATTTTATTGGTCGGTTTTGAGCGGGAATAATAATCAATAATATGTTTTAAATATACTACAAATGAACTGCTAAAAAGTACTTTTACGGCACATGCATCAAATTTGAATAAAAACATTTTTAATTGAATAAGAGAAAATTAAGGGTATGGTCCGTTATTAACCGACTACTAACCGCAAGTAACCATGATTTTTTGACAGCGGTTAATTTCTTGGTTACATCTGGACCACTGTCGAGATTGACGTCACTTTTGTGACAGATTGACATTCGACTTAATGGTCACCGTAAAAAAATGACGTTTGGGTCACCATTTTCAGGTCCCTAAATTAACCGATTTTTCAGTAATGTCAAGCAGAGCGGTTAGTTTTGGACCGAGTAACCGATATTTCGGTTAATAAGGGACAATACCCTTAATAAACTATAAATCGATTTGACATAAGCACACTGACATGACAGCAATTGTTCAATTGTTATTAAGAATTCTTATTATTATATTGTTATTCTTATCGATCACATTTATAAGAAAAATTGGAAATAATATCATTTCTGATTTAATTTTCTATATTTTTTTGTTAATATCTATAAGCACATTCTAATAAACACAGACGAAAAGTTTATTTTCGGGCTCCTACGAGTTAGTTGCCAGGCTCGACTACGTCTCGCCTGGCAAACTTCTCGTAGCCGCCAGCCAAACTCAACTTTTCGTCCTTATAGCATAAACTACTATATTAATACAAATATATTTATCTAAATGTCTTACTTAGAAGGATGAACAAATATTTTCTAAAAAAATAATGCTGTTTATTGTTTCTAACTAAATAAGATTAAAAATGCCGATGCGTTGTTCTAGTCCACTTTAGAAACCTTTTTTTTTGTGGATCACTCCAATGTTTTTATAAATTACCAATTAATCGGACATATCAAGGTTTTTTTGGAAAATTCAAGACTGATTGATTACAAATTTCGATGTATTGTTATAACTAATTGTTGTATACAGAGAAACAAAAATATTAAAATGATTAAGACACATTTTCTTAATGTAATAATGGTATTAAACCATTAAAGTTTCATTACAATAGCAACAACTCATACTTATGAGCAAATTGTATATAAAAAATAACCTAATGAAGGTCAATTATAGGATAAAACGGTTGCGCGTTATATGAAGAACATTAATAATTTATCTTTAAATTATTAGTTCATTCTTTGAATAAAAAAATATGAAATGTCTTACCCGAAACTGATAAATCGCATCATTTTTATTTCTTTCGATTTACGATGTTAAACTAACAAATTAAAAATTAAATAAATAAAAGATGTTCTATAGAGAAATGGTTCAAATATTATTTTAATATACTGATAAGCATTTCATTACTTAATGATATAGCCTGTACATTTTATAATAGCATGTAAATTGATAGTGATTATAATTTTTTTAAAGAATTAAGCGACAAATAAAAAATCATTGGCGCACCATAGAATTTCCCCGAAATGTGTAACTGTCTCTGATCTTCGCATTATTATTTAGAAGCAGTTTTTCGGTAACTGATTAGAATTTGGTAAAAAAATAATTTAAGAGAAAGAATTCAGGAATCAATTCCTGAATCCTGGGAGGGGGTCTATGTTGAAGCAGCAGTACAAAGGGTTCAAGCTCCGCCCGGGCGGAGCAATTTTTTTAAAATTTTCTTTGTTTTGTTATTCCCCCTCCCGGATTCAAAAATTTATTTAAAGAAAAAAATATTTCCCTCATAACTTTTAACTATTACTTTTTAAAAAACTTGGTTTTCAAAATAATGTGTTTTAAAAACCGACTTCAAAATCGTGCAAATGCCATTACTATATCTTGACAAAATTTATATAGGACCACCCTTGAGGTAACCCTTTACTAACAAGAAAAATCATAGAAATCGGACAAGGTAGTTAAGAATTATCGATAAACATACATAAAAATTGAAAAGTTTGAGGATTTTCTCATGGACTCAATTATTAGATTTTGACCAAATTTATATAGGACCACCCCTGAAGTACCCCCTTTCTAACAAAAAAAGAAAGATTGAAATCGGACACTGTGTTAAAGAATTATCGCTGAACATACATAAAAAAAATATTATGACGAATTGAGAACCTCCTCCTTTTTTGAAGTCGGTTAAAAAGGTAGTGCAAATACAAAATGCGCTTATGAAATAAAAACCAAATAATAATATAATAATTATATTTATAACAACATTGGTCCATTTAATTACAAATATTTGTTTAATCTCTGCCCCAACCATGAGTGTTTTCTGGTTTATCTATCCTATAGAGCACTTCGCCCAAATTAAAGAAGCCTAAATATTCAGCATCTTCAGGTGTGGTATCATAGTGATAGTGACCTGCTTCTCCATGGTGACTAAAACTGTGGAAATGTTGCACTCTTAAGTCAAGCGGTCCCTAAAACGATTAAAATAACGATCCATAATTATTTTATTAAATCTATGGACAATTTTCGTTCTAAGCAAATACGGAAAAATTGCTAAGCTTTCTTTTGTTTTAAAATAATTCTTTTTGGTGGTTTTCCACATGCCATTTAGTGTGAGTGTATATATACAGAGTGTCTCATTAAGAACAACTAAAGATTCTCTGATTACAAATAAGACGATTAAACTAAACATGTCTACATAAAATATTACTAGTTTCAAAAAAAGTTGAAAATTCAAAAATTTTTAATAGCTATAATTTTTTTTATTTCTCAGTATAATTTTACCAAATTCGGTAAACATTGTTGGTGTAATAAGATACACCTATTAGCAAAACAATCAGTTGAATAAACTTTACCAGTGGCGTACAACTCGGATAAGTTACACTTTCATCCCCTCTAAATTTTACGCCACTGTCCAAAAACTTATTTGGACTACACTTCTACATTTTTCAACAAAAAAATCAGTTAAATAAATTTTGCTAGTGGCTTAAGGCATTGGTAAGTAACACCTACACATTCCTTCTAAATTTTACGCCAATCTCCAAAACATTATTTGGACTATATTTTTAAATAATCATGTACTTTTGTTGGGAATTAATAAAAATCCAAATTTTCAAAATAAAAATAAATTAAAATTATGAATATCCACCTTTGAGGGTGAATATCTCAAAAACAAATTATTTTATGAGAATATATGATTTATTTAAAAAACATCAAAAAATCTAAAAGTATAGTCCAAATAAGTTTTTGTACAGTGGCGTAAAATTTAAAGGGGGTGAAAGTGTTACTTATTCGTGTTGTACGCCACTCTGGTAAAGTTTATTTGACTGATTGTTTTGCTGATAAGGGTATATTATGACATCAACAATGTTTACCGAATTTGGTAAAATTATATTGATAAATAAAAGATTATAGCCATTAATAATTTTTGAATTTTTATTTTTAACACCTTGTATTTCGGAAACCAGTAATATTTTATCTAAGCATGTTTCGTTTGTCATATTTTTAATAAAAGAATCCTCAGTTGTTCTGTGTCCCATTATTAATGAGACACCCTCACCCTGTATATAGCCAGTTACAAAGTAATATGAGAATAATAAAATAAACATTGATACGAAAAAAAAAATAGTAAAAACAAAGAACCAAAAATTATATTAGAAGAAACAATTTGATAAATAATATCACTCCTAGGTACCTTTCTTTTTTCTTACACATTATATTTGCCAAAATTTAATATATTTCAACATTTGTGTAACTATAATATTCCGGTCCAAACTCTATTTTTGGTAAATAATAATTTACCTGAACTGTAAAGTTGATTAAAAAAACTATTAACACTTGAAGAATTTTGGATATTGCAGTGTTTGATTTTTACATATTACTTAATATTTCTTATGTTAATCCTATTTTTTTTTATTTAATAAATAATATATAAAATATACTTTTGTGTTAATTAGTTATTTGTTGATAAAGAAATATAATCTCTCAATTTCAAGTATCAAACGAGAATTATTCTACAATAAAAAAATATGTTTTACCCCATCATTGTTAACTAAGGTTCCTACTCCAATGAGCGGGGCCGACATATTGTAAAATTTAAGCCATTTATTCAATTGGTCTTCGTTTTCAATGGGAGTTTTTGAAAAATCTCGCATAACGTGGAATTTACCTTTGCCTTCTTTTAATAAAAACACTCCACCAATACCTAAAATAAATTTGTTCAAAGTAGATAATTGTTAATGTGGAAACTTCATTATTTAGCAACATTTGGATATTTTTGTGCTGGGCTACGAACATTTAAAATGAACAGCACGATTTTAACGCTGCTTACAGTACAAATTGGGGAAAATCGCTAAGGAGAAACATATAATTGTTATGTCAGAGCAAGAAATTAAAGGTTAGATATTGTTTTTTAAATAATCCTAGAATGTTATAAAAAAATTCCAAAATTTAGCATGGACGATCTAAAAGACTAAAACTTTGATGAAACGATTCACAAAAAAAGTTCAGCCAAAAATAAAAATAGCCGGAGAGGCTAGGGCGAGACTATTGGCGTCGTTTTATGGGTGACCACTGGACTAGCGGTTAACCATTGACGACGTGGAATGAGTGTATGATAAATGGGAAGGATTAGTGCATCCAAATGGTGGAACCATAAGTCATCTGCGCTTCAGTGCCGTCTTACGACCTCCAAGAGGAGGGAAAGCAGGCTGGACACCAGCCTGATTAAGGGGAACCAGTGGCTGGACCCAAGCCTGATTGGGGCAAGTCTGCCAGACTTCCTTGGGGGGGCAGAGGGTTGTCTGAAGGGTAAAAAAAGTAGATGGAGAGAAACTAGAGGACATGAATAAATGTAATGTATAAACTAAATGATGATAATGTAACAGAAAGATTGTACAATGCAATACAATAAACTGTTTTTCCATTAAAAAGGGATGAAAAGCAAGAGCAAGTGCATTCTAGACATTAACAAAAATACAAATAATCGGATTGAACTGTGATGACAGATATGGTACTTTTTCCTATGATTAGTGATTGAGCGAAAATTATGACCTGCTTGGAAAAAGGATTTAGTCTAAATTTAATAATATTAAATAAACTATTAAAATGTAAGATAGAAATGTTATGGATTTCAGCTGAGTCGGACTTGGCTGAGTCGTCCTGGAATGAAAATCGAAGTTATAACTAATAACATGAGATAAATTTGAAGTGCTTACTAAAAGATTATTTATTTTTTGTCTACTTTATATGAATTGACCATACAATTGAAAGTTTGGTAAAACAACGTTGTATACATACCCACTAGTTCCTTATATTCCTTAACTATTGCATTTCTTATTGAAGTAATGAAGTTGTCTTCACCAGTCCGCTTTTTGGCATAAACTTTAAGGACCTTAAAACATAAATTTTATGTCAAACATATGCAACTTTATGTCCTGCTTTGGTCGCATTGGAGTAAATAGTAAATGGCGTTTCCATGTGCAGAAGAGGAAAGGATGCGGTATCGACGTTGCCAGTTACAGGTCGGTAGCCACCGACTGCTGGCGCATCCTCTGACTGGCAACATTGAACTGTGCCATTTTCTGCATGTATGAACTCCATTTACAGTTATTTACTCCAACACAAGCAAAGCAGGACTGAAGGGTTGATCTTGGCAATACCATATATACATTATACACAGAACAGTTATTTTCTGTAATATAATATTGGTTGAAATTTGCTAGAAAAATGTATAAAATATGTAGTCTACCTTTCCAGGTTTTCCTTCAGAAACAAACAAATTTCCTAACAAAGCTAAACGTGTTTCATTCTGGGGTAATGTTACTTGTATGGCTTTATCGTCATTGGAATCAACTTTAGAAATTCTGGTTTGCTGATTTACTACTTCTCCATTAGAAAGCAATAAGTTGTAAATTCCCTAAAAAAGTATTTATTAAATCTTAAAACCAATTTAATTTAATATAATATAAAAACATATTGGACATTTATTTTTTGAGTCTATGGATGTCATCAGACTATATATAGTATGTCTTTTGACAACTGTACTTTATATCGCCACTTTAGGAATATCTCTATTGATAATTATTTTATATATTAACAATTTACTTTTAAAAATACTTAAGCCATTTATATTTTATAAATCATCTAACTGTGACTATAATAATAGTCATGTTTTCAACAACTTGAGTTAACCACAAGATCAGATAATTTTGGAATAGGTAAATATAATTTATTTTATTCATAAAATTATTTTGAGCTGGCTATTGAAAAAAGTGTACCTCCCATATTCCTAAAATGTGTAGGCTACGTCAATAACTTTCCAATTTTTCATCATATTCGAGAAAAATTTGAATTTTAATTACCTCACAATTAACTCCAATATATGTATTGGGTCCTGCACCAGCACCTATAATAAATGCAGGATCAGACTTTATTAGTTTTGCTATATCTTTTAGATCATACAGTTTTTCCTTGTGAACCACAGGAAGCAAGTAAGGATTTCCTCCTAGTTCAACTATTTTTGTATTCCCTCCAAGGCCTAAAATACATTTTAAATCAGGTAAATAAATTATGTAAACAGTTAATGTTCTATATGACTATGTCCCAAAAAGTTTTATATAAACTTTTTCCTCTAAAAAAGTTTATTTTTCATTTAACAAACAATAGGTAATTGCGCTGATAAAAAGTTCTGCATCACTTGAAAATTTATAATCAAGTATCAAATTTTAAATTCCATCATATACCTATAGAGCAAAATATTAATTAAAAATTGTTGATACAGGAATCAAAAAATATTCTTAAGTTTAAATCATTACACTTGCTTTTAGATGATTTCAATTTACTTTCTTAAATAATCCAAAACTAATGCTAAAGTGTTCATTGGAAATTTTAAAAATTTCATATGCTTGTTTATAGATTTCCAAGTGATTAGGATTAGCGAGGAAAAATAATTCAGTTAAGGAATACACAAAAGACCTTTTTTGGCTCTTCACCTGCTAGTCCTGGTGTCGCCCGGAGAACCCAGGTCAAAATGACATTGGCAACTCTAGTTCCGATATTCATCAAGTGAATATTATAGAATAATTAACAAACCAATTCTTTAATATTAAAGAATAATTGATATTCCTGGTGAAATTTACTAGTAAAACTGGAGATTGGATAAATGTCACCAAAACTGGAGTCTCTAGGCGAAAATGACACCATTGGTAACCCACAAGTGATGCAGAACTGTCTTTCAAAAATAATTTTCTTCATGAAATGTAAAATATTTTTTTTTTCCATTTTTATACAACTTTTTGATGGACACTGTATATAATAAAATCACTATTTAGTATATGTATATTAAATAAACAAACTTGGCTAATAAACTTACCTGGGCTGGCTAGAGTGAAGGGTTGTTGTGTTAAATCTGGGCAGTCAACCACTTCTACACTAACTTCAGCAAAATTTGTTTTTAGGTTTTTCTTAATTACTAAAAAAGATAATAGGGTAATAAAAATTTAATTAAACCCTTAAATCTATATAAGCCTACCTTCTGCAACTTCAGGAAGACCTGGCACTAAAAGTTTTTTTGATTCAATTGGTAGACTTTGCGGGTTGAGAGTGAAAGCCATTTTTCTAAGAATACAAAATATTAAATAATGTTAGTTTCATCAGTCTATACTAATTATATAGTTATGCAATTATTACTTAAGTTGTTAACTATACAAATAAAATCATTTATCAATATGATTTACCTTTTAATGAGATATAATATTAATACAAGATAAATAGCCTTCATTCTGTACACTTTAATAAGGGTATTCTATTATAATAAATAATACATAATATAGTTTGGTAGATTAAACTCTTCTGATATATAGTGACCTCGTAGTTACAAGTTTATCAAAAGTTAAAGATTTTAAATGAAATTACTTTTACTTTCAAACATAATTAAACAAAATTGAGCCAATTAAGAAGGATTTATATTAAATATAATATAAATATATATAAAAAATTAAAGTATAGAATACTTACCCAACTCAGACCACTTTAAAAAACTTTTAACACTTTGAAAAACAGATAAGGTCAAAAGTGTCAGAGATAAACTGTTATCTAGAATACATTATAATGTAATTGTAATGTTAAAGAAAATATACTCGAAAGATAATATATGTTTTGCAAATAAACTTATTTAATATTCATAACTTATCCATGACCAAAATATAATAAACATTTTATCAAAAAAATGCCATGTTGAAAAATAACTAGAAGTTTCTTGAAAAGTCGTCAATATTTTGAATTGTTCACGGTACGACTACCATTTTTATACAAACGAAAAATAAAATAACTACCCCTTACCCAAATAATCCGAATTTTAACATATTTTTAATAGAAAAAATAAAACTTACTTAAAAGTTGAATTTAGCGCCCAAATTGTCTAATGTCATTCATGTCACTTAACGTGACAATGCATATGTCAATGACAATTACATGGCTATGTTCGGAAATTCAAATTAACTTATCGGACCTACTGCGCCCGGACGCTCTTGTAAGGACCGATTCCACCGTTGTGTTAAACGAAGTTTAAAATTACATTTTTACATTAACAATGTCATTTTAATCTCCGTTTAAGACAACGGTGGAATCGACCCTAAACGAATATTAAAATGACATTGTTAGGGCCGATTCCACCGTAGTGTTAAACGAAGTTTAAATTACTAAACGAAGATTAAAATGTCAAATTGTTAATGTAAAAATTTCATTTTAAATTTTGCTTCGGACCGATTCCACCGTTGCCTTAAACGAAGTTTAAAATGACATTTTTACATTAACAACGTCATTTTAATCTCCGTTTAACACAACGGTGGAATTGGCCCTTAAACTTCGTTTAACTCAACGGTGGAATCGGCTTTCAATTAAGGACAATTCTGTCAAAAAACTAGGTATTCAATTATGTCCAATTCCACCGTTAGTAGTTGAATCGGTCATTTGAGAAACAGCACATGTCAGTTTTAGATTATTTTTCAAAAAATAAGAAAAAGTGAAAATCTCAGAACATGGACAAAAAATAGTTTTGTACACTTAACGTTTAAAACTTGCTCTATGTTGGGTATAATACAATAATTATAATTTAGCTTTAAATATTGTATTTTTGTAATAAAAACAAAATGGCCAAAAATGTGACATGTGTCGTTTCTCAAATGACCGATTCAGTTAAGAAATAAACCAGATTTAAAATGTAATTTTAAGCTTGGCTTATTTATTAACGACTAGCGGTGGAAATGGACCGAATCCACCTTTGTGCTAAACGAAGTTTAAATTACTAAATTAAGATTAAAATTACATTTTTACATTTACAATGTAATTTTAATCTTCGTTTAACACAACGGTGGAATCGGCCCTTAGTATCCTACCAAATAGTTCATAAAGAACATTCGGCCGCTACTCTTTTTAATATTCTTTTGCGAAAACAGACAGACACATTAGATCTTTTTCTTTGCATCGACAGTATACCACTGAGCTACACCACTTCTGAAAATATCGTTCCATTTATACCTACAAATTGTATGGATGGAACGATATTTTTAGAAGTGGCGTAGTTCAGTACTACACTTTCAATGCAAAGGAAAAGACCTAACAAATATGACAAAAAGAAGGACATTTATTTGACAGACCCTAACAATCATATTTTTATGGCAAATTTTAACTACTTTTAACGTATATTTATTTGTTTTGAAAATTTAACGTTTGCGTTAATTTTATTTTTACAGAATTACAATTTATGTTAAAAACGTAAAATTTAACACCTGTTAAAAATAAACTTATTGAATTAGGGCCGATTTCACCGTTGTGTTAAACGGAGATTAAAATGACATTTAAACTTCGTTTAACACAACGGTGGAATCGGTCCTTACAAAATTAGCACTTAAAGGGCCGATTCCACCATTGTGTTAAACGAAGTTTAAATTACTAAACGAAGATTAAAATGACATTATTAATGTAAAAATATCATTTTAATCTTCGTTTAGTAATTTAAATTTCGTTTAACATAACGGTGGAATCGGTCCTGAGTTGTTTACTTGAACGCGGTTGTAGAAAATATTTCAGATACGGAACGCAGTTCCAACATGAAATTAAAAACAGAACGCAGCTATCGTTGGAAATAGTGGGGAAGTTGTCTTTCGATTTTCGATTCGAAGTGAAGCCTAGAAAAAACTGCGTAAAAACAAAAAAAAAAACTAAAAAGTAAAAAGAGACGTCCTCCACCATTTTGTTTTTGAGTGGAATTTAAAATTTACTAATACGTTAAATATTAACAGTAAATTATTAATTATTAGTGGAAAGTTTGATTAGTTTTATGTGTTAAAAAGAGGTAAGTCCGTTTCTATAGCTAATTTACCAAAAAATTTCAACGCCGGGTGCGTTTATAAAAATCAATAGCATTGTTGCTGTTTCCTTTAGGTGGGCCCTCATCATGTCTAGACATTCAGACTGTAAAGTTTATGTTGGAGACTTAGGAAATAGTGCTTCAAAGCAAGACATTGAAGATTCTTTTAAATATTACGGTCCACTTCGTAATGTTTGGGTAGCAAGGAATCCACCAGGTTTCGCATTCGTGGAGTTCGAAGACCCCAGAGACGCCGAAGATGCTATCAGAGGACTAGGTAACTTCGATGTTGTTCTGAACTGTTATTTTGGTTGCTCTCCTAGTTTTTTTAATACTTTGGTGTTTCTTATTAATTTATATTTGAGGGTAGATTCCTTTAGATTGATACATTTGTTTTTTTTATGTTCTTTGGATCGTTATTCAGTCTTTTATTGAAAGAAGATGCATGTTGTAGAAAGAAGTACTTTAAAATATGCTAAATATCTTGTTTGATCTCTTTTGATTATAAAAAAAACTAGACATAATGTACTTGTAGGTATGGTGTTACCTACATGATTTCATGTCTTGTGTAAATGAATAATAACTACACAATTTGTGAGAATTTTTATATATATATATAAAAACTATTAATTATTATTAATTTGCACAAGATAACGGAAAAGATTTTTTGTTTACAACAGTGATACAAGTATGTAATCTTTGTTTTTCACAAGCGAAAAGAGGCCAAACTAGATAATGACCCAAAAGGTACCTAATCACTATACCAAGATCCCTGTTTTGGAATTTTCAATGAAATATGAAATCACAAATAAAATATATACAATATTATCAATAATTCAAATAGCATGTTTCTTTTAAGATGTCTATTATATTTTTAATACTAGTTTGACCATAAAAAAAGGAGCATATTAAAACAAGTAGAATTATTTTCTAAACGGAAGATATTTATTTAGTATGGCATGTTAGGAAGCATGGAGATTTATTTGGACTATTTTAATGCTATACCCATTTACAGAAGCTTATTTGACAAGCGCTGATTTTAACAAATAAAGTACCTGATCAATAATTTTTTCCATAATTTACATTGTTAAATAGCAATACTTACCTCTCTATTGGAGTAGAGTTATTGCTTGAGGCTAGTCTTCAAAATAAATTCACAGTACTGTTGAGAGTATTTAAAACTTGCTGATACACCTCTTATTATCTTACAACTGTTTTTCTTCTGTATTGATCTTCCAGTTTCAGGGGTTTCAAGAAATAGGTGACCTTTTATAACAGTCTTCAAAATAAATAACATAATATGATTTAAAGAAATTACCTGTTGCTTCATTTGTTCAATACATACAGTGTCTGTTACTGAATGCGTTTCAAGACAGTGCTAATGTCCAAGTGAAAACGACAGAGAGTTAGCATTAGGGCCAGCAGGAAACAAATCATGTCAATGATATTTTTCCTGCTCGCACTTATGCTAACTCTGTAGTTTTTATTTTGACATTAACGAAGTGTATTGGAAAGTGTTCAATAGTTGACACTGTATATACTCTTAGGCTGGAAGACTTCTGTCAATGGCCTGTTCTGTAGTTCTCAACTCAATAACGGATAGTTGATTTAAAACTATGATATAATCTTAATACTCATAATAATTTCATGATCTTCTCTTCTCAACTTTCCTTCATTATCACGCCACTAGCCAGTGCAGCCTTTGAAGATCTAAAACTGACCACCACTTTTTTACCCAAAGTGGATTTTGGAACTTTCCCCAGTATTTTTCCTTAGTGTCCCTCTCAATAGTAATTATCAAAATATTTTCATTGTACTTTGTGTGTTTGCACAAATAAAGTAATTCACAGCATATATATTGTCAACCAGAAGCCAAAATATATCTAAGAAAGGATATAATTTTGGCCACCTTCAAGTTGATGACAATTTTTGTAGCTGTAACTCAGTATACATCAAAAAAAGAAATAAGTACCTACTGTTTAAAATAATGAATTAGGAAAATGTAAAAAACAATTTTTACACTTTTGGTCCTTCGCTTTTGGTCCTTCTGGTGTTAAAATATGTGTTAAAGAAAGATCATGTTTTCTTATTTTTAACTATCAACTCTTTAATAAATGGCCTATATTCCATTGTTATGATGATCTACCATCCAACTGGAAAATTGTAGGTACATAATACATTAATTTTTGCTTTTCAAAATCTAAATTTAAATATTAGTGTTTTAAAAAAATGCATGTAAATTTAAATAAATTGCATTCAGTTTCATTGAAGTGAATTTAAAAAAACATAACATTGATATAACTATTTTTTGTTTATTTTGTTTTAAGTAATTGTATGCACATTATTTAAACAAATTCATTTTTAATGTGTGTAAATCTGAGCATTCTGATTGTAGATATTTGTATTAACTGTAGATATTTTCATGTTTTGTTTTTAATTAGGTAAAATTACACCATTTTTCTTCTGTTTTAATATGTCAGTATAACAAGAATTTGTCCAAAAATAAGTATTACAAACAGGCTCTAAATTTCTACATTTACAGTTGAGCTATTTATTTATAGGGTTAAAAAAAACTTAAATGATTTTCTAAATGAATATCCCTCAGGTATTTCCCATAGCATGTTGCTTTTAGGCTTGTGATATATATTTCTGAGTTGTTGCAGTTACTAATCGAATTTGGGTACATATTTACTGATGCAGAGCAGAGGGAATTTTGAGTTGAAACCTATTCCATATTTTTATGCTATTTTTATATCCCATTCAAAAATTTTATGCTCATTTTTTTCCAACAAAGCACCCTGTATTATTAAAAAATAGTAAGGGAGCGTTCAAGTATTACGTAACGAATTTGGTGGGAGGGGGGGTTTTGTAAAACGTTACGATGCATTACAGGGGCGGGAGGGGGTTTGAACTACGCGTTACGTAACATTATTATTTTTTAACCCTTAAAAAAAGTCGCGTAGAGAGATTCTCTCAGGCATTTTTTAAAACGTTTTTTTTTTCTCAAAATTTCAAATGGAGTGACATAATTGTGATTTTTAGGTAAAAATAGTCACTTTGTGGTTACGTAACGTTTTACTAGGGGGGGGGGGGTACAGAAAAGCGTTACGGCGCGTTACATCGGGGGGGGGAGGTTCAAAATCTCCAAAAATTGCGTTACGTAATACTTGAATGCTCCCTAATTTATTTAGTAGTAGTGTGCTTGTTTTTAGAAAAAAAGCTTGAGATTCTCTGCTGCTTTATTCAAAGTTCAGAAAGCACCCTGTGTTTTTTAAAAAATACTTTCTATTTTTTTTTTTTTTTTTTTTGAAGAGTTATATAATATTTCAAGGGCCTAAAAATAGACTAAAAATGTAGCGCATAAGTAGTTGTTAAAAAAAAAAAATCATGGAGCTTTATTATACAAACTCAAGACTCTAGACATAAAATGGTTTTTTCCTTAGTTGGATGAGGACTTATCTTACTGGAGAACGCAAATTGTTAGGATAGCTACTATAGAGATAAAGTTAACATCCGTTGTCCCTCAAGGATCACACTTATGGCTAATCACCTTTAACCAGTTTATTAAAGACAACGACATAGAGGAGTGCTTCTCCTATTCAAAGTTTTTGCTTTTTGCAGATGATTTAAAATTATATAAAAGCGCTACTTACCAACTACACAGAAAACTTATATTTGATCGGATCAATGAAATTGGCCAATTCAATGTCTTCAACAATAGATTTTTTTGTTAAAAAATCTCTTTTTGTGTCCTTAATTTATAGAGAGATATAACTTTTTAATATTGATCAATTTATTATGTACACTTGTTAGTTTTAAGTTTGCATATTTTATCCAATGTGTAAAGATAATGGGCATTGCCTGTTAATAATAAATAATAAACCAAGGTGCTCTGTTGACTTTGTTTCAACAAAGTACCCTGTATTATTTAAAAATAGCCTAAAAATGAAGTGCTCTTCTGTCTTCATTCAAAGCACCTTGATTTATGCAGAAAACTAGGAGCAGAAATTGTTTGAAAAAGGAATAAAAACAGCTTTAAAATAGCCTAAAAATATGGCATAGGTTTCAACTCAAAATTCCGTAGGTGCTCTGCTGCATTATTTGCCATTAATTGCTGTAGAATATGATATGATAAGAAGTGTATAACACATGCCTGTTTAGCAATTATTCATTAAATTTTATGGACAATTCATTGGGCAAATCAATGATTTATGTAGCAACTTTAGTAAAATGTTTTCCACAAAATATGACTTAAATTGTATCAGCAGATTAAAAAAGTTTTTAAATTCAATGAGTTGCAATTTTTAACTATTTGCCCATTGATTAATTGACAGTCTCTTACACTTATTCACAAAGTTTGATACAATTACATTGATGTTTCTCAATATTTAGTTCTTATAATTTTTCACGACCCATGTTAGGGATAAGCAGCGATTTAAAGAATTTACATTGGGAGCAAAATGTTTTTTTTTTTATGAAAAAGTAATGGTACAAATGTCTATATTTGTTTTCAGCTTGGTGGCGAAATATTTAATTTAAGAATAATAATAATGAGTAGTTTTGATTGAGAAATGGGTATTTGTAGTGTTTATTTGAAAGAAAATTAAATGATTACATGAAACAGTGAATTTTCACATTTTACTTAATGTATTTATACATTTATTATTGACCCTGGAACATTTAACAATTAGTAGTCTCTACTAGTTAAACATGCATTGACATTTGAAACAATTCGAACAGTGAAATAGGCAGCAGAAATGTTATCTAGTATATTTAGTATTTACATTAAGTTAAATCACAGATACAATAATAACAATTAGTAAAACAATCGACAGTAAAACAATGAAAAGTTTTACTACTCAATGTATTATTTTTAAGATGTAATGATTGGCTACTAAAAAAAAAAATTACTAAATAATTACACTACTTGGTGTTCACTTCATTTCACTTTATTTGAAAGGGGATGAATTATAGAAGTATTATTATAATTACTAGCAAATTTATAGAGCTATACTACAAAAATATATAATAAGTTCAATAGTAAATTTGCATTTTCTAGTATAAATTTGACAAGCAAATTCCATTTCCAATCATACTGTTAGGTAGGTTATTCATGATTTTTTTGAATAGTTTTCATGAATATAGATTTTATGTATACATTTGTACCCTGGTAATTGTTTAACAGACTTGCAAACTTTTTGATGTTTATAAACCCTCTTAATAGGTCTTTCAGCAATAAGAGTAAATATCTTTACTGTCAAACAGCTTACTGTGCAATACAGAGTGCAAAAATGACAGTATAAATATAGAAAACACATTTTGTTCCTAAACATTCCTGTTAATAAGAAATGCCTGAAAAATGTTGCAAAAACTACGAGACCTTCTAAAATAAGAACAGCCTGCTAGTCAACATTAACTACTACATTTCTACCATGTTACTAAACTGCAACCACATCTCTTCATTTGTTCAGATGGTCGTAGAATCTGCGGTCGCAAAGCGCGAGTAGAAAAATGTATGCTTATCGTACTTGGAATCGCTTTGCAACTAATCTTTTCCTTTTTGTTAGATGGCAGAACGATATGCGGCAGGCGAGCTAGAGTGGAAATGTCTAGCGGCAAGAATGGGGGCAGGTACAGAGGACCGCCCCCAAGGTCTCGTGGTAAGCCTTTCCACCCTGATGATAGATGCTATGAGTGTGGAGATAGAGGACACTATGCAAGAGATTGTACTAAATATAGACGGGGAGGACGTCACAGGTATTTAGAAATTTTTGTTTTTATTTGGTTTAAGTGATTTATTACCAATTGATGTAATTATTTTGAGACAAATAATGAGGATAGTTTGGTTAAAATAAAGTTTGTTATTTAAAAATAATGATTAGAATAAATATTAAATCAATAATTTTAATCAACTAATACAGAAAAATGTTAAATATTAATCTATACTTTGTTTCACTTTTAGTTTCAAGTATTGCCTTGAGTTCCATATTATTAAACCTCCCTTGAGACTGCTCTTGAACAAAAATTGTTTATTAGGGGAATTTAGAGATAAACAATTGTTCACTTGTAAAGGTTTTCAGTCATACCCAAAAAGTGCATTTTAAAGATCCTTTCTTGAATATACATCAAGCCACTTTACAAGCACTATATTTTATACATATTTTTTTGCTGTATCTTCTACTCTTTTTTGTAACACAGAATATGATTCGGCAAATATTTGAATTATTTCATTTTAACAAGAATAAAATAATAAAGCTCAACATCAATACCGCGTACTATTAAATTTAAAATTTTCACGACTAGTTTCAGCCTAAAATAAGGCCATCCTCAGGACTGAAATACAACAGAACAAAAAAACAAACAATGAAAAGTAAAATACATAAAGTGACCACATAAAAAATTTAAGTAAATTTAAAGAAATCAGAATCAGTTGGGAATTTCATTAGTACAAAAACATGAGCAGCATATTTTTTGAGAAATATTTAAATTCAGATATTAACTTATTTTGGCCTCCATTAATAAAATCTTTAAAAAAAAATTCTTAGAAAAGAGTACTATAATAAATTTTTGAAAATATTTGTAGTCTATTTAAATTTTTTAAATTATTTTAATTTATATTAACTAAATAATCCACACTGTTCTAGAAAAATTCCTAATTTTTTCATTTGAGTTTTAGTTTAAGTAAGATATTCGATTTGTAAAGACAAATATTGTTACGCTGGTTTTTGGTAGCTCAATATATTTCACCCCAACTTTTACAATTTTACTATACAACTGATGACAGGAACGTACAACGTCTTATCATAAAACAGAACTTTGACGTCAGGATCGTTGACTTATATAGCTCGCTTGACCCTTCTAGAACTTTCGCGAACCGTCCAGATGTTTCTTGACAGGGAATGGCATTTCTAGACTTTTTCTTTTTTTACTACTAATTTTACTTTTGACACCGCAGCCCACTGTAGGTGATGGGTTACCATACACTTCTTTTTTTTAGTTGTGTTTCCTACAACAGCCGCAGGCCACTACAGGGTGCAGGGTAACAATATAAATTAGTAAAAGTGTAATTTTAAATACAAATAAACTAGTGTATTTAGTGAATATAAATTAAAATTAAACTGTTTAAAATAAATAAACGTTACGCTGGTATCAGAAGTGGGATACTTCAAATAAATAGAGGGTAAAAAATTTTAAAAAGTTTTATAAACTACATGGCAAATAGTTATTCGCTGAAAAACCAGTGGTAGAGATAATAATGGCATAAGCAAAATGAGTATACCATACTTAGATGTTGATATTATTCTAGAAGAATTCAAAAAATAACGAAAAGTTTCTGAATAATCTAAAAAGCAAATTAGACATACTGTATACTTTATATTTTGATTTGCTTTCTCTATAATGTATTACATAAACGTTCTTATAAATTCAAGATAATGTGATGTCTTACAGTGAAAAGGGATTTTCCATTAATAAATTAAAAATAATTGTTTGATGTTTAACTAAAACAAGTTGCTTGAAACTATTTTAAATCGCTGAAAATTAGGAACTATGTAAAACAGAGTATAGATTCGCATGGTGACCACTGTCTAAAATCGGGAAATATTACATAAAAGTCAATGAATTTTAATTAAATCTGTCAAAATCAGGAATATTTTATATTTTGGGTAATATGATTATATTTTAAAGCAACATTTATGATTTGTATTATGTATTAAGAATGACATATCAAACATAGAAATCTCATTTCTCTAAAATATTTGGCATAAATATGTTTTACAAAGAAAACAGTTAATTTCGTAAATTGTTTAGGGAAAAAATGGACAATAGACTACCAATTAACATTAGGTGGTCACCCTGGATTTCCTTATCCATTATTTTCTATAACTTCTCCAGACAAATTATTTTTCTCAAAAGTCTTATGTTATAAATAATGGTAAGAATTTTTTCATTCATACTGTACAACTAGGTTTTAGGTTTTGAAAACTTTAAAGAACAAATATGAAATAAAATTGAAGTTTCAAAAAAAAAAAAAAAATAGGTTTTAGCTTATTTCTTTCATACAATTTTACTTGAATTTATTAACTTTGTTTCAAATTTTTGGAACACATAAAATAAACGCATTTCTGGAATTTGAAATATATTTAAGGCACTTAATGTATTTTTAGATCTGCATATTTGGTACATTCTATTAATATATCTACTAGTTGGCGATATAATTTTAAAATGAACTAAATATTCACATCATTTTACACCATTCATTTCTCTTAAATGTTCAATAATAATTGTTTCTTCTAAGTAAAGTTTCAGTTTAAATTTGGAACGTTTTGTTAATATAAATAAGTACCTTCTCTTTTTTATTATGATTGATGCTTAGCAATTGTTAATCATTAAAAAATATTTTTTAAAGTTTTCAAAATGTGTTATTCTTTACTAAAATCTATTAGTTGTACCAAATGTAACTCGGTAAGGAAATAAAGCAATATAGGCAGAACAAAAAGTTAAAATTTCAGATATTTTTTTTTCAAATTCAGTAAATAATCATGAATTGGTTAATTTTTGGATTAAAATACTAAAGTTTAATGCCACACATTTTTAAATTAAAAACATTCAAAATTCATTTGCTGAATATGTTTTACCCTTTATTTTAGTTTGTTGATCAAACTGCAGAATAAAAAAGATGTTTATGACATCATACCTTTTTTATTTTAGCTCTCATGATGACCTTATCTTAAATTTGGGTTTTTGTTTTCTTAATTTCACACTTTGAGTTTATTCCATTTAAAGCTAGCTCTATATATATCTGCATTTGATATAAAGGTAATTTCCTTAATAATTGACGGTATTGTGACTGGAGACTCCTTGACTGACTTATGATGATTTTATCTAAAATGTTTAGATATAATATTCCTCCTAAATGAGATAAAAGTTAAAAGATATATTTTTGCCCAATCTTTAGGAATACTAGGACACTTTAAATTATTGTAGAAAATAGTTTCTTGCTATTACCAGAAAGGTAGGTAACCAATAAATTGTGAACGAAACTCATATGAGATGCGCATAAGAATAATATTGAAACGATTTAGGAACTTTATATTTTTAATCACAATAATATTGAAAAATATATCATTATTTATTTATTTACGGGCCAGAGCCTAAATAATAATAAATTAATTTAAAATATATACATATTAAAAAACAATTAATTAAAATAAAAATCTATTCCACACATATACATAAATGGTTAGAAAATTCTGAAATAATCCATTCTACATTTAGTCTATTAGCAGATCTTGTCACTCTAGGAATAAAAGAATCCCTAGTTACTCTAGAGGGTACAGGAAATCCACTTTGGATTGGGACAATTGGCAGATGAGTTAATAATGTTCAACAATATTTTAAGATCCCTTTGGTTTCTTCTGCTCAGAAGGGTCCCAAGATGACAAAGTGTGTGTAATTTGTCATAATTGTATCTGACGATACCCAATTTAAATGCGCAACAATGCGTAAAAATTTTCTTTGAACCTGTTCTATATTATGGATTAAATATACATAAAAAGGATTATATACAGCATTATTCAATATAAGGTCCAAGGCACAATAAAGAATCTTTAAACACATCACATTATGAAACCCAACATTTTTAATGCTTTATTAACTGAGGCCGTTATATGTGTTTGAAAAGAAAGAGTGGAATCTAGTATCACACCCAAATCTTTATAATTTTGACGATTGTTAGTGGCATAGAATGTGGAGGGCATAAACTAAGTCTGCCTCTGTTGTACACCTTTGGTTATCTCATAAACCTTTTACCAAGTGTAAACAAAAAAATATTGAAAGATTTCGTAACAGTGGGCAAACATAATTTTAAAATGGTTAAATAAAAATATAATGTATCTCGGAAGGAATATTGTATCAAAGTGTTTTAGGTTAATCTTCATATTTTGGGTCAACAATTATCCAGTTTCCATGGACAATTAATAATTAAACACCCTGTATATGTCCAATATTTTACCAAAATAGATTTAAATTGATCATATTTTTATTTATCAAAATTATATAACCAGGTAAAGAAAATTATATATTTGTTTTGCTTTAGGTATTTTTTAACAACTTATATTAATTTTCTTTTATTTTTTGTTTATAAATTCAGCAAATGGGTTTGTTGGTTACGTTTTTTGTGGATTTACATTTTTTAGATAATCTTCAAAATTAAAGTATCACGTATTTTAATCATTTAATATGGCAAATTCAATATATGGTTAAGGAAAAAGTTATATGAGCCATAGGGTATAGACACAGAGTACACAGCCATCTCTATACTTTGTGTACAAAACCAACCTATAAATTTCTACCGCTTCTGCTGCGTTCGATGTTGTTTACTTTTATCGGTCATCAAGCAGCAAAATTTTAGTAATATTGTTTACTATTATCAATCATCATTTTCTTTTTAAAAGACAATATTTACGATTGTAGAATAAGAATGATTTGCAAGTGACAAATAATTTATTATTCTTCAAATAACTTGTTCAGAAATTTATTAGGCATTGTGGCTTTGAAAATAAAATGTTTTCATAAAAAATGTTAAAAATATAAAATCCTAAAAAAAATAAATAGGCAATCCTAAACAATAAAAAAAATAATTCTCAAAAACTAAAAAAATGACAAACTACTAAACCTAACGATTAGAGGGTTAAAATTTTCCACCGCCTTTTGCTAAACAAATTACATTCAACAGCATGCATTCGTCTAACCCGACA